ATATATATATATATATATATATATGTATAGACTAGCTGATTAATACTGTTATATTGTTACTAGGACCTATTTGAGCTGCTCCATTGCATTTATTGGTATATGGCTCGGATATTACTCGGGCCATGTTCACTTGTGAGGTGGCTGGAGTGAGCATTCTAATTGACGTCCTGTGAAAATCCTTATATCGTACAAACTCATCTGAACAATTCGGTGTAGTACGTTGGGCGGCAGCCGATGGTTTTGCAGAGATCTGGACCAATCGTAAAAAAGAGGACAAGTTAAGACCTGGACCACACATTGAAAGTGGACAAGTTAAGACCTGGATCATTCACAAAACGAGGACAAGTTACTCGACAATAGTCACGGGAATAGTTCGATAGATAGCAGACATGTGTAAAGGTTGAAAGTGCAACAGAGCCGCATGTCGCGCGATAGTGTGTACATCTGGAGTTCATAGGAAAGCAAAATATTTGTAGGAATATGAAAGATGTTCATAGGAATGTGAAAGATGGTCATAGGAATGTGATGTGAAAGTGTTCTGAAAGAATGCAAAAAGTTCATAGGAATGTAAAAGATGTTCATGGGAATGTGATGTGAAAGAAGCTTAACCGAAGAAGTTTATGAGAACGTGAAAAAAGTTTATAAGAATGTGAGAGAAGTTTATGAGTATGTGAAAGAAGTTTATGAGAATATGAAAGAAGTTTATGAGAATCTAAACGAAGTTTATGAGAATGTTCAAGAAGTTTGGAAGAATGTGCGAGAAAGTGTTATGTGAGTGGGTGCGATCGCGAGAGTATTCGTATCGCCAACGGATTAAATGACGCGTGTGCGAGAGCCGAGGTGTGAGTAACCATATACAAGCATACGATTTTTGAACACATCCATCCATACATACATATATGCTTCATTCGAACCAACCCCGGTGAAAGTATACACTACGCATATCCATATGCCCGTACATAATAAAACAATCCATACAAGCCCAAGACTACACAATGTGAATAAGAAAGAAATGTGACACACCTTCTAATGACTCCTTATCTACAGTGACCGCTCTTTCAGGCATAAGCTCAGGCCTATGCACACCCGAGGATATGAACAGCACATCCAATCCTGCATCACACGCACCTGACGATGCAAAGGGGTGGTCGCTTAGAAGTGTGCGTAGTCTTGGCAACAAACAAGGGCATATGCGATGTGTGTGTGTGTGTGTGTGTGTGTGTGTTTGAACCCTATCTCCCTGTAATGCGTAGTCTGGTGATGTACATGGAGTCTTGAGTGAACCACGTATTGTACGTAAGCAGACAGACCATGTACAAACACTGTGTAGGGAGCGGAAGGAAAGAGAACAGAACCCCTCCGTAGGGACAGAAGATGAAATCCACGCTCCATTGCTTTCACTGGTTGCTTTTCTACATAGCCTACCTACATAGCTATAGGGCGCGGAGAGGAGTCGGCTTGAGTTATGCTTAATCATGTATTGTCATTCTCGACAGCACTTGTCAATGTACAGGTAGAATACACCACTCAACGTATCCCAAATGTTCGCAATCTGTTCAGCACAGTACACAATGAGTCTAGGCAGGGGCGTTGTGATGAAGGGTTTTAGGGTTGTGATCTATACAAACCATCATCTCAACCATACAACGCTGTATTCTTTATAGCCAGGATCGTAATTGTCTCATAACTATATTTGGGTTCACATGCTCAAACGGATTCTGTCGAATTAACTAGTGGTGCAGCAGCACAGTGTAAACCTAAACTCTAAACCCTAAACACATTGCACTCGTATAAGCTGCATATTCCGGATGAGCATAGGGTATGTACGGCGCACATATGGTCTCACAAGGGTCTCCCACACCACACACAATACACAAACAACATCCACAACCCTATCACTAAACCACGTGTTTATAGCAGTACCTGTGGACACATGAGTCGGGCCAACAACATATAATATACGACATATAATATACAACATATAATATACGACATATAATATACGATCGAATACCCTGTGCATCTAGTAGTACGGCAGGCAACTGAGTTAGTATCCGCTTGCACTTATGGGGTGCGGTGGGCGTGTAAGGATAACGTTTTTAACCCACGAAACGTGCCGCGTACAGATCCTCCAGTGGTTTATACCGGTGTTTTATGCCACCACGGATCCATGAAAACAACTCGCCAACAGTACCCAAATCATCACTTCTACTATGTCACGGCCTGATGATATACTCACATAGGCGAAAACAGCCTCTAGAGTCGCAGGAGCACCCTGTACTCATCCGGAATATGCAGCCTATGCGAGTGCAATGTGGTGTAATGATAGTATCGTTGAAGTTATTCGCGTGTTGTGTATGGTGTATGGTCTGGGAGACCCTTGTGAGACCATATACATACCCCATACTCATCCGAAATATGCAGCCTATGCTAGTGCAATGTTGTGTGATGATATTATCGTTGAAGTTATTTGTGTGTTGTGTATGGTGTGTGGTGTGGGAGACCGTTGTGAGACCATATACATACCTCATACTCATCCGGAATATGCAGCCTATGCGAGTGCAATGTGGTGTGATGAAAGCATCGCATCAAGCACTGTTGATGTGCTTGCTCACCTTTGATATCGTGATGGAAAGAGTCTCCTACACATATGATGTCCTTCTTCTCAATCCCTTTAGTGGCCAGCATGTCGATGCACTATTAGATAGACAACGAGTGGTGAAAAGAAACAGAGAGGTTGCAGTTAGGTTACTGTACGTTTGACGAGTACTTTAAGCACTTCTCACTACAGATTAGATGTTGCAGTTAGGTTACTGTATGTTTGAAGAGTGTTTTAAGATAAGTACGTTTACAGTTATTCTCGCTATAGAATAGATGTTGCAGCTAGGTTACTGTATGTTTGAAGAGTGTATAGATATAAGTACGTTTACAGTACTTCTCACTATAAATTAGATGTTGCAGTAAGGCTACTGTGTGTTTGAAGAGTGTTTTAAGATAAGTACGTTTACAGTACTTCTCACTGTAGATTACATGTTGCAGATAGGTATTATATTATCATACACATACCTCTTTATATATGAATCACTGTAGATTACATGTTGCAGTTAGGTATTATTTTATCATGCACATACCCCTTTATATATAAATCACTATAGATTACGTTGCAGCTAGGTATTATTTTATCATGCACATACCTCCTTATATATAAATCACTGTAGATTACATGTTGCAGTTAGGTATTATATTATCATGCACGTACCTCCTTATGTATAATCAATGTTGGCTTCCTAAAGTGGTCTGTACGTCTTGTGTAATTATATTATCATGCACATACCTCTTTATTTATAAACGCTGTGGGCTTCCCAAAGTGGTCTGTATGCCCTGTATAAATATATTGTCAAGCACATACCTCTTTATATATAAACGCTGTGGGCTTTCCGAAGTGTTGGGTGTGTCCACCGTATGCGTCGTAGATAGCTGCGTAGTTTCCTGGCATTTGCCACACCCCACCCGTAGGCGAAGAGGTTACGAAGTCAGAGTTGGCTACCAGCATGGGCAACCCTGCGATTGCATCCGGAAGAAAGCGTATAAGCATATGTACGTACGGGTATATGTATATGTATATGGAAGTATATGTATATGTATATGGAAGTATATGTATAGGTATATGGAAGTGCATGTGTATGTATATGTGTATGTATATGTGCATGTATATGCGTATGCATATGTGTATGTATATGTGTATGTATATGTATAGGTATATGTAAGTATATGTATGTATATGTGTACGTATATGTGTATGTATATGTGTATGTATATGTGTATGTATGTGTATGTATATGTGTATTTATATGTGGGTATAGTGGGTATAAATATATGTATAGGAAATTATACGTATGTGTATGCGAGAAATGACACAGATATGCTCAGGTGGTATAGAAGCACGCGGGCTGTAATTGCGGTTGAGATTATACTTATTTAGGCTCAACTATAAAATTTCACAGTCAGCTTTAGGACGGCTTCCATAACATAGGCATGTCTCGGTATCTTGCATTGAGTAGGAGATCACTGCCCATACCTACATCTATGTGCGAGTAACAATGTGGCTATACATATGCATTTACATATACATATTCATATTCATATACATATGCATATACATATATATATATACATATACATATACATATACATATACATATACATTCATATATACATATACATACACCTATATATATATATATATATACATATATATATATGTATGTATATATAAAAATATTTATGTATATATATATACGTATACTATACATATACATCGACATAAACGTATACATATGTACACATACATACACCTATACATATACTTATATACATAAACATACTCCAATATATATATATATATATATATATGTATATATACCTATACATAAACATTTATACATATACATATACGTGCACACTATATGTAGATGCTTACCCAACCATCTTACACATCAGCACATAAACATTTCCTATGGGGACAGTCACAGGCATATTCAATTTCCAGCACACACTAGCAAGGACAAAGACCCACACACGTGCAGATACAAACACACAACACTCCACCTAACGTATCTAAAATGCACACAATACCTCTCTCAGCGGCACGCTTCAACAGTGTCTTCGCCAACTCAAAGTCACCCAACCTGCCAGGCCACCGTGTGTGCAACTGAAATGAGTACGTGCACACCCGAATGAACCACACACAAACATGTGAGCATAGAGAGCGGTTTGCATATATACAAACCTACACACAGATGTAGTGGTGTATGCGTGCATTTGTACTTGTGTACTTAGGCGGCAACTGTGTATGTTTACGTGCAATTGCACCAACATACGACCACGTTGTTGCCTCATATTAGTGTAGGAAATCGACTGATAGCCAAATATGGCACCGACTAGGGGATAGTCGTGCATATATATATATATAAATATAAATATAAATATAAATATAA